CTCTCTCTCTCTCTCCCTCTCTCTCTCTCTCTCTCTCTCTCTCTCTCTCTCTCTCTCTCTCTCTTTGTCTCTCTGTCTCCGTCAGTCCAACCGTCAGTTCTCCGTTTGCCGTGGATTCCGCTCGCCGAATGCCGTGAGTGAATCGCGGCCAACTCTACGGCGGGTTCGGTGTTCTCCGGAAACGTTCGTGCGCTCTCGGAGGCCACCATCACAGACGTTGTTGCCCCGTGCATTACCCCGTGACCCACGCACTGAGAATTTCATCCCCCCGCTCGTCGCCCAGTCCTACCATTCGCGCGCACCGCCGAAAAGCCAATTACGCAATTACCGCCTTCGCGTACATCCCGTATGCTAACGAGCATCACCAGAGCACACCAACTGCGAGATCGAAATGGATGGACCTGAAGCCGAATGGGAAGCCCCGAATGTCAAAACGTTTGCGACTGCCGACGATTGCATCAGGAGTAATTGAATTAATAGTTCTAAATGCGCGCGGCTGTTACTTCTCCTCCTCTTCGATTGACAAGAAAATTTCATGTTGAGCTTTCTTCGTGGAAAGCTTGTAGCGTGATGAGCCATCTCACGCTATGTTCGTGATACCATTGTAAATTCTGTTTCAGATGCTTAACATCCCAGTAGATACGTGGTCTACAGATATAGATCAATGTTGCTTTGTATATCACTAATCAGAGATACATTTTTTTATATATATACATAATCTATTGTCTATATTGTACGTATTTTCGAGAAGAATCTTTACATTTTGGTATTGGAAGAGTCTGAATTTTTACTTTCTTTATATATAATACTTTATATAATACTATATATTTAAATTATATAAAGTATTATATATACTATATATAATACTTTATATAATTGTTTCGAAAGTCAAATACAGTAAACTCCACTCACGGGAACCGAAACGTTATGGTCTACAATGGTAGACTACGCGTCTAAAGCGAAGACAAAACCACATGTACCTACTGAAGGATCAAAGCCCGTATGGTCATTACTTGAAACTCAACATTCACATGTGAGACACACTCAGATGTTACGAGTTAGATTTGAACTTTTCACTTGAACCACTTGATAAATACCACGCGATTGTGTTTGTAATCGTGATTTAGTTGAAACATTCCCATCTAACTTTAAATTCAAATCCGAGCGTCTTATCTGAGATAAGTTTCAAGTGAGATACTCAGATCTGTAGAATTATGAGAGTTTTTCAGTTAAATCGCGATTGCAGATATAATATCACATGTATCATATAATTTAACTGAAAAACTTGGATCTAGTTCTGAGTGAAAATCTGAGTATATCACGTGAGACAAACTTCAATTAACGACTATTAATAATACAAGCCTGAGAGCCGTATTAATAGCCATTATTTAAAATTTGCTTCAGATAAAATACTTAGATTTGAATTTAAAGTTAGACGCGAATCTTTCAGCTGAATCGCAATTGAAAATATAATGTTGCACATATCGTGATTCACAAAACTCAAATCTGACTCTAAATTTATATCTCTAAATTTATATCTCTAAATATTTCACTTGAGATAAGTTTTAAGTATACCAATGAGACATTTAAAATAATCAACAACGCCATTAAGACACTTGAGATAACTCGCGGGCATTTAGCATACAATTTTTAATGCTTCCCGCGGAGACTTTCATGGGCATTTAACGCGCATAGCGTCGGTAGAATTAAATCGACTGAAATAGTTAAACAAAAATCACAAGTGGAAATCTGTTGAAATCGAAATTGCGCGAGAGACGATTTTTACGAAAATCGACCTCTCGAATTCTGTATGCCCGATTCATTAGGAACGTATTAAATCCTGCATCGCACGTTGCCTGACGTTGCTCAAATTTTTTCACTCTATTTCGTCGTTTTGCAGTTAAACGTCCGCAGCACAATTGACGCTCGCGTCGATAACGACGCGAGCGACAGGAAATAGTGAACTACCGTCGGACATGTGATAGGAACATAGCGTGACCGAGAATCGTGAGCGAAACTTGGACGTTACACCCCCGAGTAACGACATCCTCGTCGTCGTCGTCGTACATGGCGAACATCGTTTAATGCATACAATTTGCGGACAGAATCTATCCGAGCTAAATATTAAAAGTTCACTCTTTACGTTTCTTCCCCCAAAACTCGCCTCCTAATCCGATTCTCCGCTCTAATTGGATGAACGATTGCGGATTATACTGTTAAAATATAATTAGCTCTCAGCTCAATATCGGTTTTTGCACCGGCACAAGCCAGCAGCCTTTAATTCCCCATACTCTGTACCGCTACAGGCTAATTTTATTTGCCATTTTATTTCACTATCGATAATACGTAAGAGAGCCTCTTTTATTAAATTCTTAGTCCGTGCGGTTTAATAATTTCGACAAGCGCGACGTCGGCCACAGTAAATCCCACCTGCGAATTAATTGTACGCCGAGCATTGAAATAAATTAATGCCGCGCAAAGTGATCCACTCGCGCACCTCGCGCAAAAGGTCACGCGTAACTAGACTCGTTAACACTTTAGTAATTCCTGCCGATTAAAACGTCGACGAACCACCGCACTCATGCATCCCATCCAATGTAATGCCATGAGTGCGATGATAAACATTAATGGCATTATTCGTCTCGCTTTGAGCCGCGCGCACTTGATATCGACCGCCATCGCGTATACCTCAGTGCACGGAAAAAATTATTATGGTCACTATATCCACATATTCTATATGGTCAAAGAGAAAATTTATCTGATTTAAAGTGAAACAGATATGGATCAGATATATCTGATCAGATATTATATATCTGAAAATTTATCTGATTTCAAATAAAATAGATATGGACATATCTATCAGATATTATTAGATATCAAGTGAAATAATGGTTATTATTATATACTTATCTATACAGTTTTCACGATTGTAGTTCTTAGTATATAATGTTCAGTTAGTATATGTATACATAGGCCGGTATTCACAGTCAGTTCTTATATTTAAGACCGTTTTAAGTTCATCTTCAAATGCCGTACGGATCGTTTCATTAGCTACAGAGTTTGAAAGTGAACTTAAGACGGTCTTAAATATAAGATCTAACTATGAATACCGGCCTTAGTTGTCTCAACCAAAGGAATATTGCTGTCTTTCTGTGGTCTGCAGAACAAATACTATGGTTGAGAGATCCGTAGAGTCTGGTTGCACTATACGGCATTAAGAATATTGCTCAAACGCGTATGAATAGATAGTAAAGAGGGTATCACTTCCAGAATTCTGTGGTTACTACAATCATCTTGTATGCATGAGCGAAAACTAACATTAATATTTTGTTATGGCAACCATATTAAGTGAGATCTTTAGTATTTTCTCCGTGTGATGTTCTATGGGAAGTCACGTTGCGAACGCGATCAAAGCGACAACTTTTTATGGTGCGTGGTGAACCGATAATCCTACCCGATCAAATTTCACCATGTGCTCTCAGTTGCGATTGTCCAGCAGAATTCGGCAGAACAGGGCGAGTGTTAACGCGAGAAACGAAATGAGCGTATCTGAGATATCCGCTGCCACGAAAAGAAAGACGGGCAATTTAACAGCGGAATTGAATTCGAACGGGCGAAACTTCTCTGGCGGACGCGCCGCTACAATTACAGATGAGGATTGCGAAACGTGATTACGATGAAGAAAGAGGCAGAGTAGTTATCGCACGTGCTTCATCCGTGCTGTATGAAACTTTCACACCGCGCGCGGTGATCCTAGGTGCGACGTCGTCATGCGATCCATCAAATTTGAACGTACTTACGCATGACACGCATTCAATGACAGATGATGCCGCTTGATTTCACTGAACAATAGCGTAAATGTTCGCACGCTGTCGGGTGTAACCGAGGCGCCATCAATAACCTAATGCGTGTCACTGATTTCGCACATAGATCGCGTATTATACACGGCTATATTTCGCACCTACCCGATTATAATTTGCAAACGAACTCTACCGCGAATCTGTAATTAGATTCTCGGCGAAAATGGTGAGCGAGAAATTATTTAGTAAACACTACTGTATGTGTATGTGTGTTATAAAAAGCCGACTCGCAAAAGCTTTTTCGAGGACAAGGATCGATAGGTGCGACGATGACGAGAGCGAACAAGTTGCGCTCCAAATTTTACACATAGCTATTTCAAAAAGTGAAAAAGATCTCAGGCCGATTATTAGTTGGATGAAAAGGATGATTGAGCGACAGGTCAGATCGGGAGTCGGCATCTAGAACTTGGAAAAATAGTTTTCCATCTTATGCACGATTCAAGGTAGGAGAAAAAGAAGAAAACGCGGGATGGTGAAGAGAAGAGGAATTGATTTCCATTGAATAAAAGAAACTCGATCTCCCGCGATTTTTACTACGTTAATTAAAAGTTTCTGGAGGTGTATGTCTGATATAAAAAAAAACATTTAATACTCCAGATTATTGCTATGATCATTTCAGCGCGGCACATGAAATGTCGCGCACTTCACTGCTTCCTTTTCGGTGGAAGAGATTGAATTGTCGTGCGCACGCAGAATATTTC